TTTTTTTTTTTTTTTGCAGAATCAGGGATTGAACTCAGGCCCTTGTGCTTGCCAGGCAAGCGCTTATTCTACTGAGCTATATCCCCAGCCCCTCTGATTTTTTTATATTTATTTGGTACAGTGTCTCACTATGCAGCTTGGACTCATAGTGATCCTCCTGTGTCAGCCTCCCTAGCACTGCGATTACAGGCACATGCCACTATGCCCAGCTTCAGGGCTAGCAAGGCTTAGGCTGCCACAGCATGTGGAACCAGGGATCAAACCCAGGTCCATGTACTCGCCAGGCATGTGCTTAAACCACTGAACTATCTCCCCAGCCCCATAAATATTAATTTTTTAATCTAGGATTTTTGTATTTTATGGACTTTTTTTTTTTTTGCAGCAGTGTCTCCCCATGTAGTTGAGGTTATTTATCCTTGAACTCACTATGTAGCCTAGGCTGGCCTCAAACTCCTGGTAATCCTACTATAGCCTCTTGAGTGCTGGGATTACAGGTGTGCACCACCACACCTGACTAAGGTGTTTTATTTTATGATGGGAAGAAAATTATGTAACATTTTGTACAGAAGGCAGATGGATTCAATCCTTAGTATGGAGAAACTAATATTAATACACAAAATGTTAACATTCATACAAAAGTTCTAAAACAGAGAAACCCACAAACAGAAAAATTAGTGGTTGCCTAGGACTGCAGAAGTTCAATATAAATAGAAAGTAACTGCTAAAGGGCCCAACTTTTGGGTGGTTTTTTTTTTTTTTGTTTTTTGGGGTTTTTTTTTTGGTCTGTTTAAATCTTTTATTTGGTACAGGGTCTCGCCACCACACCTGGCCTCAGGGACTGGCTCAGCAGGCCAACACCACATCATGCTGTACCAGGACTGAGACCTTGCACTTGCCAGGCAGGTCCTTTGACCACCAAGCTATCTCCCTGGCTTTCAACATTTCTTGTTAAAGAGATGAAAAGGATATAAAATTGATGGTGGTAATGGCTGCACAACTCTGAATAAATTGAACTGTTAGCACTACAAGTAGGTAAATTGTGTGGTATAGAATTATCTCTCAATATAAATGTTACAAGAGCTGGGGAGATAGCTCAGTGGAATAAGCGCTTCCCTGGCAAGCGCAAGGGCCTGAGTTCAATCCCTGGTTCCTCAAAAATAAATAAATAAATAAATAAATAAATAAATAAATAAAAACAAATGTTACAAAACAAGTATTTTTATTTCTAAATACTTTATAGCACAAATGTTCCATATGTCTAACTCATAGACTGTACAGGTATGGTAATTACAGCATTTGGGATGCTGAGGCAGGAGTTTCATTGAAAGTTTGTGGCCAGCCAAAATGACATAGTGAAACCCTGACTCAAAAACCTTTAAAAAAGAGACAAAGAAAAAAATCCACAAGGGCTGGCCAAATAGCTCAGCAGATTAAAGTGCCTGCAAGGGGCCGGGGAGATGGTTCATAGGATAAGCGCTTGACTGGTAAACGCAAGGATCTGAGTTCAATCCCCGGTTCCACCAAATAAATAAATAAATAAAGTGCCTGCAAGCAGGCTCAGGGACCCTCAGTTCAATCCCTGGGCCTCCTGTGTTGGCCCTGTCCCTGGGGCACGCTGAGAAGGCAATTGAGACTGGGCATGGTGGCACGCACCTGTAATCCCAGCTCTCAGGAGGCTGCAAACAGGCGGATCACTATGAGTATGATCTAGTAGTGAGACCCTGAATATCCTGTAGATCCTTCCCTAAAATTAAAAAAAAAAAAAAAGAGAAAGAGGAGCCAAGGAGATGGCTCAGTAGAATGAGCACTTCCCTGGCAAGCGCAAGGGCCTGAGTTCTATCCTTGGTTCCACAAAAAAAGAAAGAAAAAATCTGCAGCCTCATTATTTAAAAGGTGATTTTTTTAATATTAGTTCAAAATTAAAATTTTTGGGCTAGGGATAGCTCAGTAGCATAAACACCTGCCTGGCAAGCACAAGATCCCGAGTTCAATCCCCAGAACCACAAAAAGAAAAAAAAAAAAAAAAATTAAAATTTTTCTGAAAACCTAAAAGCATGGGGCCTACAAGATGGCAGTGGAATAAGCACTTCCCTGGCAAGCACAAGGGCCTGAGTTCAATCCCCGGTTCCGCAAAATAAAATAAAAAATAAATAAATCAAAAAACTTAAAAGCACATTCAACTGACGTGTCCCTGAGTTTCCTCAGCAGAAACTTGAAAATCTTTTTATTCATTGTGGGCCCAGGGATTGAACACAAAGCCTTCTCACTCACTGAGCTACATATCCACTCATTTTGAGAGAGTTTCAGTAAATTGCCCAGGCTGACCCCAAGCTTGCAATACTACTGTATCAGCCTTCAGAGCTGCTGGGACTACAGGAGTATGCCACCCCACTCAATAACCATATCTTTTTTTTTCTTAAATCATTTATTGGGCAAGGGAGATGGCTCAGTAGAATAAGCACTTGCCTAGCAAGCGCAAGCGCCTGAGTTCAATCCCTAGCTCTGAAAAAGGAATAAATAAAAATAAATCAATAGGGCCGGCGAGATAGCTCAGTAGAATAAGTGCTTGTCTGGCAAGAGCAAGGACCTGAGTTCAATCCCCGGTTCCGCAAAAAAATAAAAATAAAAATAAATAAATCATGTATTTATTTTATTTTGTGGCTCAGACTCATTGTGATCCTCTTGTCTCAGCCTCACCAGCACTAGGATTTCAGGCATGTGCTGCCATACCCAATCTCAGGAGGTGCACCAGGATTCCTGGGGCTGGAAGGGCATTTGGTACCAGGGATCAAACTTGGGTCCTTGTGCTTGCCAGGCAGGCACTTAGACCATGAGCTATCTCCCCAGCCCAGTAAACATATCTTAAACATCAGGAAGAATAAATAAAACCAGCATAATTTTTCAAATCTCCAAAAGCTAAATTTCTATGGGCTGGCCAGATAGCTCAGCGGACTGAAGTGCCTGCTTAGGCAGACAGCTTCAATGCCCAGCTGTAATCCCAGAGCTTGGAAGGCTGAAGACAGGTGGATCACGAGTCCCATCTGTGTAGTGAGACCCTGTAGACCCTGTACTAAATACAAAAAACAAGAATTAAAACCTAAATTTCTAATCCTTCTTAAATGTGTAAATGTATATTTAAGAGTAAAAATGCTTTACCAACCATGACATACAGCTGGGCATGATGGTGCATACCTGTGATCCCAGCATTGGGGGAGAGGGGCAGAGGCAGAAGAAACACTACAAGTTCAGTTAAACAGTGAATTCAAGACCTGCCTGAACTATACAGTGAGTTCCAGTCTCAAACAAAAACAACAAGATTCAGATGGAAAATAAAAAATAAAAAATAAAAATAAAAAAAAAGAAAAAAATAGTTAGGGTAGATGTACAACTACTTTCTCTTAGTTCAATGAGAAGAACGACTTGTACTAATAGTGTTTAGACAGGATATCATACCTGCATCTTCTACTATGAATAACTACTATGAAGACAACAATATGCAATGTATTAATTATTGTAACTGTCCTACTAACCTGTTTTGATACTGTCTCATTGCT